CCAACGCGAGGTCTTCTTCGAACTCAGCGGCCAGCTGCGCTCCATCCTGGTCAAAGACACAGCAGCCATGAAGGTGCCTGGGGGTGATATCGGGCTGGTCGCCCATTGGGCCTGACCTTGCGGGCTGGGCACACGGGTCTGGCCTGAGCTAAGGCCTCGTTGTGTGAGTAGTGGTGCCTGACTGTGTCTCTCTGGCCCACCCGCAGGAGATGCATTTCCACCCCAAGGCGCTGAAGGACGTCAAGGGCCAGATCGGGGCCAGCAGCCATGAAGGTGCCTGGGGGTGATATCGGGCTGGTCGCCCATTGGGCCTGACCTTGCGGGCTGGGCACACGGGTCTGGCCTGAGCTAAGGCCTCGTTGTGTGAGTAGTGGTGCCTGACTGTGTCTCTCTGGCCCACCCGCAGGAGATGCATTTCCACCCCAAGGCGCTGAAGGACGTCAAGGGCCAGATCGGGGCCCCCATGCCTGGCAAGATCATCGACATCAAGGTGAAGGAGGGGGCAACGGTTGAAAAGGGGCAGCCCCTCTGCGTGCTCAGTGCCATGAAGATGGAGACCGTGGTCAATTCCCCTGTGGCCGGCACCATCAAAAAGATCCACGTCAAACCCGACATGCACCTAGAGGGAGACGACCTCATCCTGGAAATTGAATAGGCCCCACCCCCTGCTGCATTCTGCTTCCCCTCCGCCACCCCGGACAGAGAACTGCCCCACAATGTGTCGGATGCAGACGGCACACTGTCACTTTAAGGGCATGCACAGCCCACTTTTAACCCTTTGTTTAGAGGAGATGTTCCAGCTTCTTTCTCTTCTCCCACCCCACCATCTCAGCTATCGGAGTCCTGCTTAGCCTCAGAGTCACCCAGCTTTTGGGGGAGGTGCAGTTCCTTCCACCACTACATGCATCAAGTGGTGTAATTCCTTCTGCCACCACCAGGGACTGTCTATGCACATGTCATGGATTAACAGGGCTGTGTTACGGCCCAGCCTTTACGCAGTCTTTTGGCAGTGACCCCATTGGTGTGCCAGAGCCACGCTTCCCCCCAGGCAGCCAGATGGCCTCAGCAACTCCATGGCCTCAGTCCCCCTGCTTCCCCTGTGAGCACCTTCCGCCTGGCCAGCTGCAGTCAGACCCCTGGAGAGACTCTTCTCTTCTCCGGGAGCGACGTGCCCAGGGAGAATCGCTGGTGAGGCCCAGGCAGCAGGCTTGGCAGACCCTTTCCCTGAGCTCCTTAGACCACAGATATGATCAGCACTTTCCCCCCAGTGGGCAGTGATGCAAAGTGGCCAGTCCAGAGTCACAGAGACAGTTCATCACTACAGAGAAGTCCCACCTGTGCCATAGCATCATACAGCCTACAGGTGCAGTCCCTCTTCCTCTGCCAGGGGGAAGCTGATCTCAGAGGCTAAGCTTTGCTGCCCCCTGCCATCCCACTTACTCTGCTACCAATTGCATTATACCCATCAAGTGCCAGGGGGCACTATTCAGCCAGGTCCTCCCCTGCACCATGTAGGGTGTTCAGTGGGGCTGACAGAATTGCCAGGCCCCTGGAAAGGGAGGGGCAGCTCTGTGTGCCTGAAGGGGGCAGAGCTGGGGCAGCCAGCCCTCTGTGTCACACGGCCACTCCCCTTCCCCCTCCTCCTCTCAGCCAGTCCTCAGTACTGCCTGGAGGGAAGTAGTGGGCCCTTTTGAATATCTGGGTCCCAGGGTAGTTGCCCCCTTTGATCTCCCTCCTTCATCAGTGGACCAGGGGGTGCTGTCCCCCTTGACCCTCCAGTCCAGGTATCCCTCAACTCTGGGGGCACTGTCCCTACACACCTTGCCACTACATTCTGTGCCCCCAAAAAGCTGCTGCTTCCCCCAGGCTTAACCATGACTCCTTTCTCCCTGGTTGGGGGAGAGGGGTTCTCTCCCCTGCCATGCTGCTTCTGGGGGCCCCTCTTTCTGCTTCAGCCCTGGGTTAGTCTAGCAGCCCATAATCAAGTTTTGTGTCTATTGTCTTAATTGTCAACTCCTGCCCCTAAATATGGATGCCCCTCCCCCCTCAGAGCAGATAGGTGCTAAGGGGCATTTCTAGCCATGAATTGCCCCCACCCCTGCTTCCCAGTGACCCCACCCCAGTGTTGGTCTGGGTGGGGCTTCCATAGGGTGAGAGGGGGCACCCAGTGGGTAGTGACCAAAGCAATCATGCTGGGTTTGGGGGGTGGAGGATGGCGGTTCAGATGTTTACAGGGTTGTTTGCCCAGAGCTGGGGAGAGGGAGAGATCCCCTCCTCACTGCCCAAGGGCACGGGAACAAACCTCACAGCTGTGAGGCCAGTCTGTGGTGCAGGAGTCCTGAGGGCCCTGTCAAGCTGGAAGGATCAAGGCCGTTTTTGGAAAGGACTCAGTGACTTGGCCCCTGAGGAGCTGGCCTGACTGGGCAATAAAACTCATCTCACTAACCATTCCCTACTGACCTGGCTGAGTTTGTGAGACCAGAGAATTGGGCACAGCCTGCCCCCTGCTGGAGAGACTCCAAACTGCTGCTGATGTGGCTGCCTGTGTATGTGGGGAGCTAGTGCCTTTTATATCTGGGCAGGATAAAAGGGCATCTGCAGAGGTAGGGAGGGGGGAGTCCAGAACAGGGATTGCAGGGGGCTGTGGGTCAGGACTGAGGGGCAGGAGTGTCCAGGTCTGGGATAGCAGGGGCTGCAGGTGCAGTTTGCACAGCATCACTTTTGCATTGGCTCCAGCCTCAATGTTAAAAATTCACCCCCTGTGCAAAAGGAAGATTGTGGCTGACTAGCAGCTGCTGTGCGAACAGGAGCGTGCTGCCGCGGTCAGCTCAGGAAGCGCAGACAGAAGGGTGAGAGTATAAAGAACGGGGGCAATGAGTCATGGGGGTTCTTTCCTCTCTGTGGGAGGGGAGCGTCTAGCAGAGCAGGGCCCAAGGTGGGGGACAAGCTGGCTTAGGCAGGCAGGGGCTCCAGAGCCTGCTGTCTCTTTGGCCTCCATCTGCCAGGCTGCACTGCTCACCCTGGCAAGGTGGGGGGCTCCCTTCACCTGCATGCCAGCCGACTGGCCCTGTCTTGTCCCCACACTCACGGCACCTGGCAGGGGTGTGAGGTGACAGGTCTCAGCTCGGTGCTGAGCAGCTCTGTTGCCTGGTGCTGGGCAGGGATGCCAGTAAAATGCTCAGGGGCGTGGCCCATCAGGGGCCAGGTTAGGGCTCCCGTGTGCGGCGCATGGAGGGAGCCTGTGGCTGAGGAGCACGGGTTGCAGCTGCCATCTGAAGGATATAGCAATCCCGCATGTCGGCTCCAAGCTCCTTGAGTCGCTCCCACCAGCTCGTTACGCTGCCGGGATCGTTAATAATTCATCTCCTTCTGTGCTGTAACAGAATTAATGCAATTCTCTGCAGCTGTGCCTGCCGCATGACTCTCAGCCCCATCGCACCGGCCTATGGCCTGCGGCTCACCCAACCCCTGCTGAGGGGAAGGGGCTTTGGGCTAGGAACTGGTGGGTTCTGATCTCCCCTTTCCTACTCCCCGCTGCGCTTGAAAACCCATCATAGAGGGAGGCTGCTAACCCCCCCAAACACACACACACTTTACAAGGTCAGTGCCACCACCCTGCCACTTCCTCTCTCAAGGGATGGCCCCAGTTGACAGGGCACAAACCACCCTGACCTTTCCACATCTCACAGCAAGATCCCCACCCTTCTTCCAGGCCCACCACTTAGGTACCCCCAAGGGTGAGCTCTTCAGCTCCAAGCCTGGCTCCAGCTGCCTGGATCACACCATGTGCTCTCCACAGCACAGATAAACCCTTCTGGGAGCTGGGCACCCAGGGTGGCACTGCAGGGACACAGTGTATCCCGGTGAGAGCAAGCCAGGGTTTATTAGTTCCATGGCAAAGCCCCTGGGCGGACTATTAGGACAGCATGGTCAAGCCAAGCTCAGGTGAGCTACCAACAAGCATGCGTCCATCACCCTAGCTGAGGCTGCCCCAGGGGCTAGGTGGGCAGAGCTCTGTCACACAGCTGGGGACATGTCACAGCCCGGAGCAACGCAGCTTTGCCAACTGACATGCTAGCGGGGCACCCTCTCAGCTTGCAGCAGCTGGGTACATCCGCACTTGGGGCTGGGGTGACATCACAGCTCACCTAGGCCAACTCTGGTGGCCACACGTGGTCCTGGAATCCTGGGCATTGCATCATTGCTGGGCATGGTGTGCAGGAGGCCACGTTGAAGGAGGAGCAGCAGCACTGTTAAAACCGACGTCCTCTGATACCAGATGGGGAACGAAATCCCCAATAAGCTGACTGTGTGGTTAAAACCAGATGTGAGTCCTGCTTACTGCTCCAACACATTGAGCCAGTGAGCTAACACAAGCTGGGGCATGGGGTAGCCATGCTGGGTACATCCCAGGGGGAGACAGGTTTGCACTCAGAGCTGCTGCAGGTGCTACCATGGCTGCATTGCTAATTCTAGCACAGAAGCTAGTTCCTGCAGAGCTCAGCAAGGCAGGATGTCACTGAGGTGTCTCTGTTGCTGGGTGTCCCAGACTGAACCTTGACAACCACACTGTACAGCCCGCAAGTCTTACCCACCCATCTCTGCCCAGCTGCTGGTCAGTAGGGCTTAATGGGACAGCATTGGCTCTTGCAGTCATGTGTGCTGATGCTGTCAGTGCTGGATGGCATATTAATCTCACCAGAGCCTGACTTAGCCAGACCCAACGCTGATCCCCCTGTACCAGGACAAGTAATGTTACCCCTATAGTTAGACAGACAAAGGGAAACTGAGTCACACTTACATTGGTCATTGTCAGGGTTGTTCCCCACTTTGGCACTCCGAATGCAGAAGATGGGGGCCCACAGTAGACCTTAAATACCTTGCCTCTCCTTACAAAAACTCCCCAGCGTCACAGATTTACTGACTTTGGGGGGTAGCTGCCGCCACCAAGAGAAACAAACCCCTTTTTTCTTGAACCCAGGAAGAAAGCACCTGGGGATACCACAGGGATACCCCAAGCTCCTCTGCCACAAGAGAGCTTGAAAAAAGAATGAAAAAACAAACTGGCTTTGATAGCTGGCCTCTCAGGGGGTATGTCTACACTACCACCCTAGTTCCAACTAGGGTGGTTAATGTAGGAAACCGAAGTTGCAAATGAAGCCCGGGATTTGAATTTCCCGGGTTTCATTTGCATCTTTCTGGGCGCCGCCATTTTTAAAGCCCCGCTGGTTCGGACTCCGTGCCCGCGGCTACACGCAGCACGGAGTAGGTAGTTCGGATTAGGCTTTCTATTCCGAACTACCATTACTCCCCGTGGAATGAGGTGTACCGGTAGTTCAGAATAGGAAGCCTAATCCGAACTACCTACTCCGTGTCGCGTGTAGCCGCGGGCACGGAGTCCAAACTAGCGGGGCTTTAAAAATGGCGGCGCCCGGCAAGATGCAAATGAAGCCCGGGAAATTCAAATCCCGGGCTTCATTTGCAACTTCAGTTGCCTACGTTAACCACCCTAGTTCAAACTAGGGTGGTAGTGTAGACATACTCAGGCTAGGCAGACACACACTCAGACCTCCTGTTTCTTTCCAGGACACAAGAACCAAATCTCCTTAAAAAGGGTGATTTTATTAACAATAACAAAAGTAATACATGGTAAAGCATACTTGGTTGCTAGGTGTTACAGAGCAACTGAGTAAACCAAATTAAAACACTGAACTTTTTCCCTTTATTTACTCATGGTCCCTTCTGGGGTCAGTCTACTTCCATGCCCCAAATTCCTGGGAGGCATGGTAGTCCTGTCTGGGTTTAAGGCATGCTATTTTCCAACTTGTGTGTTAACTCACCCACAAAGAAAGCCGGCAAGGTATCTTATACAATTCAAATTTCAGCACTGTAATCCCATTGGTTCTTCTGGCTCTCTGCCAATCCCTCTGCTAGCTACCTGAGTTTAGCCCTTTAGTTGCCAAGTGCTGGTCAGCGCTTCTCAGATCCATCACACACACACTCCAAGTCACAGATGATGCTGGACAGGCTGGCCCCCACTGAGGTCTAGAATAAAATATAGTTAATAATGTACATGGACACACTACATTTATTACTGAATACACAAAGATTAAACATAATGCCCCAAATGCATGGAATACAATCACTTGGATATAGGGAGAGTTTTAACCTGCGAAACCTTCATGGAAGAGTGCATCCATTGCTTTGTTAGAAGCTCCTGAGATGTGTTGTATGTCAAAGTCAAAGTCTTGAAGAGCCAAACCACCAAAGAAGTTTCTTTTAATCTCTTTTACCGAGTGAAGCCACTGCAGAGCAGAATAGTCAGTCTGCAGATGAAAGTGTTGTTCCCAAATATATGGTCGTAGCTTCTCTAGAGCATATACAATGGTGTAGTATTCCTTCTTGGAAACAGACCAGTGGCTTTCCCTCTCCAAGAGTTTTTTTACTGAATTTTTCAACAGGGTGGACTTGTTGATCTGGCCCTGTTTGCATCAAAACTGCCCCCCACCACACTCTGACGCGTCAGTGGTGATGAAGAAAGATTTGTTGTAGTCTGGGGCCCTTAGGATAGGGTTAGACATAAGAGCAGCCTTAAGCTGCTTATAAGCTTCCTGATACTTCTCAGTCCACTTAACTGCATTTGGTTGTGTCTTTCTGGTTAGCTCTGTCAGTGGTGCGGCGATCTCACTGTAGTGCCATACAAATCGCCTGTAATATTTTGCCAAGCCTAAGGTTTAGACCTGTTCCTTTGATTGCGGGACAAACTAGTTTTGGATAGCCTCTACTTTAGCCTGTAGAGGGCTGATAGTCCCTTGACCCACCTGATGTCCCATGTAAGTTACCCAGTTAGGCCTATTGACATTTCCTAGCCCTAACAGTCAGCATGACCTCCCTTATGTGGTGGAAGACAGCTTGGAGTGTTCTAGATGGTCTGTCCATGAATCACAGAATACAGCCACATGGTCCAGATAGGCCATTGCACATTCGCCAAATCTCACTAGCAAATTATCTACAAAGTCCTTGGAAGGTTGTGGGTGCATAGCGAGAACATTCAATTCACAAAACCCCACGTGTGTAACGAAGGCTGATCTTTCCTTGGCTGACTCATCCAGAGGTACTTGCCAGTATCCCTTGGTTAAGTCAAGGGTGAAGATGAACTGGGTGCATCCCAGTTTCTCCAATAGCTCATCTGTATGTGGCATTGGATAGTTGTCTGAGTGCGTTACAGCATTTAACTTACAATAGTCCACACAAAAATGGATTTATCCATCCAGTTTGGGGACTAGGACCACCAGAAAGGCCCATGAACTTTCAGAGGGGTGAATTACACCCATCTCTAACATGTCCTTGAGCTTCTCTATAGCAGCTTTGGCGGAAGGAACCATCCAGTAAGGTTGGGCTCTGAGTGGGTGAGCTTCACCTGTATTAATGGAGTGGTAAGCCCATTCAGT